GCTAAGTACTTTAACTGGTTAGTTTTGTAGTAAGTGTGAAATTCTAAGAGTGAATGTGTTCTGGGTACTGTTACATTGATTTTAAGTAGTCTTGTAAGATTTGACACTGTGTGTGTTCTTCCATTAAAGTGTATTCTAAATATATCTTAGTCTTTACAGCCTCTCTACTATTAAGAAATGCATGTTCTGAGTGTTCCCCCTATTCCCTTTACGTCTGTTTGTTTTGTTTTTACTAGGAGTTTTGTTATATTCTGTCCAAGTGAACAGACCAATAAGAAATTGAAACTTTCAAACGATAAAGAGCGATTTTTCTCTTTCTTTTATTGAACAATTTTAGATCATGTTTTCTGAAATTACCAATACTTCATACGAGAGATCTGAAAGGTGTGAATACCTAGTCTGCATTGTCATTGTCAGGGAGATGGGCCATTAAGCTTTACCACAAACAAAGCTGTGAGGGGAAGCAAACATATTAAGGACATGTCACACTGGAGGAAATAACCTCTTCCAGTCACCTGTTCCTTTCCCTCCTCTCCTGCACCTGACACCACACTCAGTATTTACAAAATTTGGCACCTTGCTGACACTTCCTTTAGTGCATTGAGCCACTTGTCAGGTGGCATTGCAGTAACAGGTTCTCTGCAAACAATGTAACATTACACAGAACATAACACGTTCACTCTTGGAAATTCACACTTACTACAAAACTAACCAGTTAAACTATTTAGCAAAGAGTTGCCAAATACACTGCTACATTTTTAAGTATTTGTTATGTAACATGGGAGTCCTACAGTAGTGGATGAAACCTGCTTGAAAAATTCCACATCAATGGTATCTGCATAGAAAACATGCTGCCTGTATTTGGGGAATGCAGGTTTATCTTCAGAGAGTAACAATGCAGGTAGCACATCAAACAATATCCAGTACACTGTCTCAGTAACACCAGGAACTAGCTGTTATGTTTTAGCCAATCATTGCTTCCCTTAGATTTCTAAGAAAAAATTGGTAGTTATGTAAGTATGCATGTGACATCACAGTGATGATCACACACATGCATGCATATTAACCCATTAAGGACACATGATGGAAATTTGCCTAAAAATTTGCCAAGTAATTTTTGTTCACGTTTTTTCATGAATGGATGTACCCCTTGTGACAGGTAAACTACTTATGTCAGCGATTTCCTGTGCAAAACAAATACTTAAGCAAAGATTTTATTTTTTAAATTGGCTTTGTCTCTTTTTTAAAGAGGATCTTTCTGTGTATATCAAAACCGACATAACATGAATTAGAAGGTGGAAAATGGCACTCACCAGCAAGTAAGCAAATATTTGATACAAATTCAGTGGAGTCACACTTAGCCTCTTTCTTGTAAATTATATAGTGTTTGAGATAAGTTCTATTGTAGAAAGATTCGGTTTATAAAACCATATATGTACGTTTAAAGATATATATACACACACACACACATACATACATACATATTGTCATGTTCCATGATTGCACTCTGTCTTCCCTGCAGCCTCTTTCTCTTTCTTTCCTTTCTTGACCTGGCATCATTTCCAACATTGGGCACTGTCTCCCCTTGTCATTATATGGCTTGATCCACTCCTGCATCAATTTCCAAGCACGTTCCCGTGTGTCATACTAGCGATACCGTACCCACACATTCTGGCATATTGCCTTTGTAAACCCTTTGCACAGATAGAGCCTTGCCCTGTCGTGGTTTCTCTCTAGAATCCGATAACTCATTTATTTTCTCAGTGTCTTTTGATAATTTCTTTTCTACAGGTACCTTCATTATCCTTGACTTTGGCTTGCTATACCAACTTGTGCACCTCTGCTTTCAGACCTTTTGCTAGATTTATGATTTAATGCAGACTGCCTAAAAAAGAAAAAAAGAGTACCTTATTGTGTTACACCACGCCAACCCTAAGGACTGGTAATGTGCTCTGTCTTTCTCGGTTTCTGCCTTACTAGAACTGACCAAAATCTGCGTATTTCGGTATTTAGAGAGGCACTGTCACGCCTTACTTACCTTTTCCAAATCACTTCCTCTTCTCTCTAATTTTCATCTATATCTAACTAAAAACATAAGACAAAGAAGGAACTACTCCTACAAAATGGCAGACTGACTGCTTTTAACCTATCAAAGATCCAACTGACTGTCAAGATTTCCTAGTAACCCAGCACGCAGAATGTAAAAGATAATAGGCGTAAGTAAACATATACCAGTCCTTAGAGTGCCAGGCTTTACATATGTTGCATAGAAAATGGTAAGGAACAAGCCGAGTCAGGGAAACCAGAAAGCAGGGAAGCAAGGAACAATAGCTGAGTAAGGGATAGCAGAATGGAGAATAGTCAGAATAGTCGAGAGCAAAATAACAGAATACCAGAACATTTAGAAATTACAAGCACTAGTGAGAACTAGAATTAGAACCACAACAGGGCAATGATCCATGCCCTATGTAGCCTTTTTATAGTCTGTCTCTTTAACCACATAGCCATGCCCCCAAAACGAAATACAGCACCCAGCATCAGAACCGCTGAGGAGATGAGATGGACTGAGAGAAGGGTCCCTCTCCACCTGATGGACCTTCCCAGGTTGTGTCACAGCCTGGGCAACAAAAGGAAACGTAACACCGACAGTATGAAGGGTATGACTACAAGGGGTTGGACTGTGGGTAGCCAGGGACACTTATTTAGTGTTAAACTGCTCTAACATAGTTTAACAAAAGAGGAGGAACCGTGTCAGGGAACAAAGTTTACTAGGTAAAACCTGCAGGATCTAGCTCCTTCCAGAGTTTCCATTCACAACATGATGTGCATTACTGAAGGCAGCCATATAATTTCCATGAGCAGTAACATTGAAGTCAGTGGAAGTGCTTGCACCACTACTGCACTTGTCCGAGTAAATAGTTTACATTTAGTTTTCAGTGCTGGTCCCACTCATTTATATAGTAGAGCTTTGATTGTCTGAAAGCCTGAGTGAGAGGTTACTGAGCTGCATCAGGGAACAGGCTCTATTTTCAGGATGCTTTGCAGAAAAGCATGTTTTTGCATTATTTTTTAGTATAAATACAAAAAATGCTATAGAATTTTCAAATAGATAATTAGATGGACTAAACTAAAAAATGAACACTGAGAGAAAAGCAAGACCAAATACAAAAGGCTTTTATATAATGTAAAAAAAAGTGACAAAAAAGCAATGCAAAAGCAAGAGATGGACCTTCGAAAACTGAAATAGGTATATTTGTTAATGAGAATCAGAAAAAGGCAAAAAGTTCAAACTACATGCTTTTATTCTGTATGTAAAAAAAACTGTAGGCATACCAATCATTGATACAAAGACTTGCAGCAAATATTTGATATGTTGACACAGGATACAGTACTAAAACATTTTAATAAAGCTAACGAACGCAAAGTTCCAATCTCAGATGGTATTCACATGGAAGTTCTTAGGGGGCAAAGTCTGTTCATAGTCAAACCACTGTTTTTAATCTTTTGTGAGCCTTTTTTTTTTTTAATAATGTTACCAAACAAATCTACTGAAGCAAAAAAAGGATCAACGTTGCAGCCTTATTAGCCAATGACTGTCATCCACATTTTCACAAAACTGATATTGCTAATGCACAAGTGTAACATCTGCAATAGCAATATGCCAAATGACTGCAAGGGCCATGGGCACCTAGGAAACCCTATGTTTGTGACACTTGACAGTGGTTTGAGACAAAACATGTTAACGGCACAATACCACTACAAAAAGATGCAATGGATGTGCTGGTTAGAGTGCCCCTTTAATGGATGTTTTATGTTGGGAAAGAGTAGAAAATTGTAACTCAGGGTTCAGTTTTTGAGCCACTTCTCTTTAATCCTTTTTTTAGTGCTGTTGACATGGGTATTGAAAGTCAATATTTTCTAATGATACAAAATTAGGTAGTTTCATCCATTCTAAGCAGAAGGATCTGTAAAGATTTCAAGACTGGGGTAAGAAGCGACAAATGAGATTTAATGTAGATCAAGAATGTCAAACTCAAAGTCTAGCACAGGCCACATAAACAAGGTTTAAGTGTATGTGGGCCGCAAAAAAACCAAACCTTAAAGGGACACTATAGTCACCTGAACAACTTTAGCTTAATGAAGCAGTTTTGGTGTATAGAACATGCCTCTGCAGCCTCACTGCTCAATCCTCTGCCATTTAGGAGTTAAATCCCTTTGTTTATCAACCCTAGTCACACCTCCCTGCATGTGACTTGCACAGCCTTCCATAAACACTTCCTGTAAAGAGAGCCCTATTTAGGCTTTCTTTATTGCAAGTTCTATTTAATTAAGATTTTCTTATCCCCTGCTATGTTAATAGCTTGCTAGACCCTGCAAGAGCCTCCTGTATGTGATTAAAGTTCAATTTAGAGATTGAGATACAATTATTTAAGGTAAATTACATCTGTTTGAAAGTGAAACCAGTTTTTTTTTTCATGCAGGCTCTGTCAATCATAGCCAGGGGAGGTGTGGCTAGGGCTGCATAAACAGAACCAAAGTGATTTAACTCCTCAATGACAGTGAATTCAGCAGTGAAATTGCAGGGCAATGATCTATACACTAAAACTGCTTTATTTAGCTAAAGTAATTTAGGTGACTATAGTGTTCCTTTAAACTTTCATAGAAACGTAGGTTTATTTTGAAAAGTACAGTATAAAAAAACCCCAGCATCTCCATCTACTAAACCACAGCACCCCCTCTACTAATTCCCAGTCCGTCCCATATACTAAATCCTAGTCCCCCCCTCTAGCCAACAAGCAGACTCCACTCACATTGCCGCTGCCCATATGCAACTCCGAAATCCGGCCTCTGGTATACCCCAAATGGCGTCCGCACCCTGTGCCAAATCTGATCCTCCCGCTACTTCTTGAAACCCTGTGAAGGTGGATCGCGTCGATGTCACGTCGGAATGCGACTTGGCGTTGCATTCCTCCATGCACCTCCAGGTACTCCACTGTCCAGTCGCAGCCAATGCAACACTGACCAACACACACACTCACTGACAGACACACACACACAGACACTGACAGACACACTCACAGACAGACACTCACAAACAGACCGACAGAAACACAGACACACAGATACACAGACACACACACTCACTGACAGACACACACACCATTTTCTTTATTGCTCCCTACCTTTGGGAGCCGATGTGGGGCCTCTCCCTAGGGTCACATGAGGATCTTCTATCTGCTCCTCACTGCTCCCTCGCGTGCAGTTTAGTAATTCAGGGTGCCGGAATATGATGTCATATTCCGGCGCCCGGCTTCACTACAGACGGCGCACAAGGGAGCAGCGAGGAGCAGGAACACTGAGCTCCCTCGCTGGCCCTCCTCCCTGGCCGGGTAAATTTAACACCAAGCATGTACTCGCAGCTCGCCAGGCCGCAAAGATGTCCATTGTGGGCCGCGTGTTTGACATGCTTGATGTAGATAAAAGAAAAACAATGTATTTTGTGATAAAGTTGGAGTTAGATATACATAAGAATTACTTGGGAACACTCGTAGACAACAGATTAATAAACAAAGTAGGGCGCATGGTCACGCAGTGCTAGTGGGTTGCTGCAGCTCATTAGAGCTCCGAGCTGAAGCAAGCAACACTAAATAAATGTCGAGTGCTACTATAGCAGTGGGCAACAAGAGGAAAGACTTTGACCATAGGGATATCCTCAAGCCTTGTGAAGGCTCCTCTAATCTCACTAAGTTTTTTCGAGACCAAACAACCCATCATAGTGCCCACGCCACTCCTAGAAGGCCCAGCAGCACTGCAGCTTCATAATGCTCTGTATCGGAGGCTGACCTGAAGGGAACTCCCGGAACATAAGCCTTCTAAGGATGACATTGCGTAGATGCTGGGTAAGCTAGAATTATATTTCAAGCAAAACTCTCAACTCTCAATTCCAACATCTTGGAGTCCGCATGGTGGAGCTAGAGGAAGACAAAGAACAAGTTTATGTTAAACTCACAACCCTGCCCTCTCAAGTGAACAACCTAACTATTCAATTATCTCACTTTCACTGGGACATTGACCAGGAACATACCTAGACAATTGGTACCCGGTGCGGATCATGTGTTTGACACTCCCCACCTCCCCCCTATTAAAATGTAAAAAAAATGGTAATGTTTTCTATAATATTTGTTTGCTTTTTTAATTGTCTTCTACAAAAATCCTGCACCCCTACACAAAAAACCATGCATCCCCCTCCACACTACAAAAAAACCTGCACTCCATTCACAAAAACCTCTGCCCCCTTCACAAAAAACTCTGCTCCCCTCCCCCTCTACAAAACCCCCTACACCCCGCTCTACAAGAACCCTACACCCATTTCACAAAAAAACCTTTTGCCCTCTACAAAAACCCCTGCCCCCCTCTACAAAAACCCCCATAACAAGTGGCACCTGGGGGGGACTGCCCCCCTCCCCACCCACCTATTAGTACACCACTGATATTGACAACTGGGGGTTCCATAATAAGGACTTGCAGCCTCTGCACTTAGAGATATTAGCTGCCTACTCCACAATTATTCTGATAGAGACAATATTCTCCGTGCTGCCAGGACAGCAGATATAAATGCCCTCACAAACAATGAAGCCGTATTTTCCAAGAACTCTCTTGAACTACCTCGCAGGCTAGAAGATCCCGCCAACCAGTCACAGAGGCTCACAAAGCTAAAGTGCTCAAGTATCGCTAGGGATACTCATTCGCCCTTTCTGTCAATCCAGGGTCGCTCCATGTACTCCATCACATCCGCAGTAAATGTTGCGGCATATATTACAGCACTAGACCTACCTCTGGTTACGGTGGTAGACTGATACACTATGTCTCCTATCCCTCTGACCACCAGCACCACAAAGGCAAAGATATCAGATGACACAGAGGAAATGCAAGTAGGAGAACCTACCATCCATCCTCATTTCTCCAAATCCAAGACCCAAATGGTGGGAGACTGACTCCTTTAAGGACTTTTAAGTACTCTTATGCAGAGTTAGTTCCTGATGCCCAAACCATTGTTTTTAAAGCAATTATTATATATATATCTTTAGAGGCTTGGTTTATCTAGTGCTGATATCCCAAATAGGACTTAATGTATGATGATCTGATGCCAATCTCTTGCAACTGCACACCCTCCAGCAGGGTTACCAAAACACCTACCTAAGCCTCAAAGGTCCTGGAGACAATCACTGTCTCATTTGTTTTTAAATAGTTGCTTTTGTTTTCGTTTTTATTTTTATTACTTAGCAAACAGGTGGTTACTCTTATTATCTTCGATTACTGCTATAAAGATATTATCTCTGAGCGTCAGGGGGTTTAATCTATCCAAGAAAAGGTCTATGGCCTTTTCTGACTTTGCCCGCCAAAGAGCAGACTTAAGGGGACACTATAGTCATCAGAACAACTGCAACTTATTGTTTTTGTTCTGGTGAGTATAATCATTCTCATCAGGCTTTTTGCAGTAAATACTGTGTTTTCAAAGAAAAGGCAGTGTTTACATTACAGCCTATGGATACCGCCACTGGCCACTCCTCAGATCTCTACTAGAAGTGCTTCCATTCAGTGTCTCTACCTTCTGCATGGAAAAACTGATCTTTCCTCATAGAGCTGCATTGATTCAATGCATTTCTATGAGGAGATGCTGATTGGCAGAGCTGTGTTTGGCTTGTGCTTGCTCCGACCCTGATCTGCTTCCTTGACAGTCTCAGCAAATCTAATGGGAAAACATTGTGATTGGCTCAGATCACAACTCCTGATGATGTCAGCCAAGCAGGAGAATCAGGGGCAGAGCCAGCAGCAGCAGACTGTAATACAGGTAAGATTTTTTACTATATTTAAGGAGGGCAAGGGGAGTTAGATGGTGTTTTTAACACTAAAGGGTCAGGAATACATGTTTGTATCCCTGACCCTACTGTGCTAATTTAATATTCTTTCAGAAGTAGTCCCATTTTAAAGTGGAAAAATATCCCACTCTCAAAAACCCAAAATACACGACTGGATACTTTAGCAATTACCAAAAATGTAAATCATGAGGGGTTGCTATTTTAATCTATGCCTCCCTACTTTTCACATATATAGGTAATGTGGAGGGTAAGGTAACATATACCATGCTTACTTTTGTGGCTCACAAAGTGGTTAAATGGCACTGCATCTTACAAAGAGTCAAGACAGTTCGGTAACAATGCTTTAAGACACATTCAGAATTTTGAATCCTATCATCAACAATTTCATTCACTTGAGCACAACAACAACAACCTAGATGCTGTACGATCAAAATTGAAAGAGAAACACTCCATACTTCTCACTAGACACACCGTCTACTCACATGGCAACAAATGTGGAAAACTCTTGGCTCGAGCATTAAAGGCTTGTCACCAGTCCAACTTCATCTCTAAGATTAGAGAAAATGATGGTTCTATCAAGCACCTCACAGAGGAGATAGTGGTGGAATTTCAAAACTTTTACCAAAATTGATATAGCATCCAATCTTCTACCCCTTCCCCCACAGATGTTAATGCGTTTATTGAGACTACCACCCTGCAGAATGCAACCTCTTATTTAGTGAGTCATTTAACTCTTGATGAATATACAAATGCAGTGAAAGCCACACTGTTGGGGAAAAGCCCTGGGCCTGACAGAGGCTCAGCCAAATATGATGAATTATTTATTATGGCCTTCAATTCCCTATGCTTCCACCTGGTGCTTCCCATTTCCCTGGTTGAGGCCTCCATAACCCTAATCCCCAAGCTGACAAGGACACTTTGACATTAGGCAGGCCTATTTCCCTCATTATGTTGATTTAAAATATTTGCAAAGATATTTGCCTTATGCCTCCAACCGCTGCAACCGGAGCTAGTCCACCCTGATCAATCAGGATTCGTCCCACACAGGGAAACAAAAGATAATACTACCAATCTCCTCAAATTTCTATATCATATCCTCTTTTGGCAATAGACGCGGAGAAAGCCTTTGACAGGGTGGACTGGTCCTTACTGTTTTCAGTGTTGGAGTACTATGGGTTTGGGACTAAATGGACTAACTGGGTGAGAGCCCTTAATTCTACACCATCAGCTAGACTGATGGTCATCTGCCATCACTCTTCCCCATTTACTATAGGCAATGGAACCCACCAGGGATGCCCCCTCTCCCCCTTTTATTCATTGTCATTATGGAACCATTCCTCATGCTATTCGAGCCAATCTTGATATTCAGGGTATCCATGTTTCTGATACAGAACATAAAATGTCGGCTTTTGCCGACAACTTGCTATTTTCCTTGAATGACCCATCTTTTTTTCTCCCTGTTTTGTTACAGGAAATCCATGTGTACAGTTTCCTGTCTAGATTCACAGTGAATTTTGATAAGAGTGAAATCCTTATCACCAAACCCCAAAGAGATGTTTCTCTCTTACAGAATGACCTTCCATATGCATGGGCCTCCAATATCCATTAAATATCTCTTCATTCCCTCAATACCTCTTCATCCTTAATCCCCACCCCCTTATATCCTCTATTAAACAAGATTTGGCACTTGTTACATCTTAATCTAATAGGGAGGATTGAAATATTAATAATGAACGTGTTCCCTGGCATACTTTATCTCCTACAGGCCTTCCAGATACAAATCCTGAAAACCTTTTTTCATTCACTCATGTGTTTTTTTCATTAAATATATCTTGGCTAATAAATAAAGCCGCATTTGTTAACACTTTTGTACCCCAAGTCTAAACCTCTCTAACATCTATCACTATTACCTAGCAATCAGATTAACTAGCCTTTATAGCTGGACTGATGTGATCAAACACTGGAAACACATTCAAAAATCATTTGTTGCCAACCGATTAGTCTCATTGCCATGGAAAAATTATGGTGCTATGTCCCAAAGTCTCACCCCACCCTATTGCCTACACTTCAATTATTGAGAAAACATAGGCGGCCATTGGTTCTATCAATCCTAATCTCACCATTGACTCCAATCTTTTGTAACCCAATGTTCCCTCCAGGATTAAGGAGGCCTTCCCCCAAATTACCCCAGCATCTAATACTTATCTGTGCTTAAAACATTTGATTCAACAATCTACTATAATCCCTTTGGCACATATAACACAGATAACTATGACCATACGTTTCCAATATTTCCAGATAACTTTTCTTAACAAAATGCTTCCCAAACCTATTGAACCCCTTGAAACAAAGAAATGGGAGAGCATATGTACTCCAACAAATAATGCTTCCCAAACCTATTGAACCCCTTGAAACAAAGAAATGGGAGAGCATATGTACTCCAACAAAGCCAATCAATCATTATATCTCAGTATTTTATGGTTTGATACAGCACACCACCACCCAGAAACGACCTCTCTTTACTAAGATATGGTCTAGAGATTTTAAATTTCAATTCTCCCATATAGAAGGGGAACAAATACTTACCTTCATGAGCTCTTTCCCTACTGACATGACTACTCACTTTGTTAATTATAATTTAATTAGTATGGGGTATTTAACACCTCGGGCTCTTCATCAGATTCCACCTGGAATCCCTTTGGTGTGCTGGAGATGCGGAGAATGACCGGGATACACAATATACAATACTGGATAAAAATACATTCCATGCTAAGGGCCATTACTTCCTCTAAAATCCCTTTTAACCCAGACTCTCTCCTATCTCACTGCACTCCTCAACCTTTGAAAAATTAAAAAAGATCCCATCTTCATCACCCTTTCAATGCGACCAGTCAATAATGTATGGGCAGGCCTACCCTGAAACGAGATGGTAGGCTCCCATTGTTCATCAATACTTATACCTCAATGGAGTAAGGAACATTTTTTCCATATTACCATGCACTGTGCCTTTAGCTACCACCAGTGTTTTAGCTGCAATTTTTCTCATTTGTAGTAACTAGTCGTAGACTATCTTTAATTCATGATGGCTCATTAGTTGGAGTGATTGGTTTCTTTATGAATTTACTGACCTACAGTTGCAAGAAAAAGTATGTGAACCCTTTGGAATGATCTGAATTTCTGCACAAATTGGTCATAAAATGTGATCTGATCATCATCTAAGTCACAACGATAGACAATCACAGTCTGCTTAAACTAATAACACACAAAGAATGAAATGTTGCCATGTTTTATTGAACACACCATGTAAACATTCACCATGTAGATTTTATTAAACATATTGTTTCATATTGCTGCTAAGTTTATTGCCATTCAGCACCATAAACTACAGTTTAGAACTGAATGGTACTGATCTTAAAAATGGCAGAACAGCCATTGTTATCAGCAAAAATACAGAAACTAAAAACAGCCTCTAACTTTTTCCGAATGTGATTTAGTTTTCATTAATTTATTTTTCCTTGATCGAAATAAGCATAAAAAAACTAACAAAAATACAGTATCATAGGAAGCAAGTTAAGGGGAAAATGAATGAAAAGATGTATGGCAATCAAGAAGGTTGGGGAGAAAAAACCCGCAAATATTGGTGCTCTCAGATCATTTCCATAGTTAGAGTCAGCTAAATAAAGAAAGCCAGAGATTTATGTGACTAGTATAAACAGATGTAAATGTAGGCACAAATGCTCCCAGGAAAACTTAATTTAAATGCATTATCTGCAAATCTACAGCCTAGATAATTTCTTTAAAATAAATAATATCTACAGCCTAGAGAATTCCTTTAAAATAAATTAAAGTGTTAAGTGTTTTAATTTTAGTTTTATTTAATAGCATTTAAGCTTTTAGCACTTCCATCCATGGAAACATAATTTTTTGTCCAATAAAAAAAAAGCAAGAAGTGGGATAAAAATATTTTTTAAAAAGTACTCTACCATGCTAAATCTACTCTACTTCACTAGAATAATGTATTGCAGACAGGGCTCAAAATGTTTACTCGCCACTAGCCACTAGTAAATGATAATATAGCCTGGCAAGTAGGAATTCACCCCTGGTGTGTATACTATGGCTTGCAAAAGCAAGTAAATTGTAAAGCCTGGCTAGTAGCAAAGGATTTAAAATTTTAAGCTTTGATTGCAAGTATACAAACATAGGATATTGAAAAGGTCATGATTTTGTCATTGGTTACTGTTTGATGAGAAAGAGCTATTATTAATGTAAAAACATTAAAGGCTTTCTTCTCTAAGTGATACTGCAGAACATCCCCTCTTTGCCAGCCACATATTCTTTCAGATTTGTGTGACGTATAGCATATGTTTGTGTTTGTCACCTTGTGGTGAAACTGTCAAGTCTCGGCTTCCCTCTGATGTCAGACCCCTGGCCGTGCTGGCATAGTCACTTGATCCTAGACCTTCTGGCCCCCTACAGACTTTGCCATCCCTTCCATCAGTGCTTGAAAGTTGAGAGGCTGTCCAACCCATTAGATCTCTATAATCAAAGGCCAGTAAAAAAAATAGCTTTAGTCTGTGATGGTGAACAGGTGCCAATACCAAAGATAACGCATGTTTTTTTTTTTCTTTGCTTTTTAAACCAACTAAACAATATGTTGCAGTTTATGAGAATATTTGTGGTATTTCTCAACAATTATTTTTTTAAAATTCTGAAATATATATATAACAGATCTGTATAGTAATTGTTAATTTACCAGGTACATGTGAAGTGGGAAAAGCATAATCACCTCTAGTGATTGTCAAGCATGCCTCCAAACTGTTTTGATTTCGGCAGGACATTCCTTATTTTCGGGTTTTGTCCCGACTTATTTCGCTGGTGTCGCATATTTAGGGACACCAGTGAACTAGCCCCTACAAACATAACACAATTGCATTATTACTCTACATTTGGGGCACTAGGAATCTGAAGAAAGCACTGAAACAAGGTCTTCCCTTCAGTGGGCAGACTTAAATGATTGGCAAGCAGCCTGGCATGCATTCACGCCCCCGTTCCAGGCTGTCATCCTCTCCCTAAATACAATAACTCTAATAGGGGATCTAAAAAAAGTTCCCCAGATGTCATAATCAAACCTGATAGAGGTGAGAATTTATGAATCTAACGTTTGTTGGATTTTTGGTTGTCTCTATTATTGGTGTAAAAGTTGTGATAGATTAAATGTCAAGTTCTTCTGTTCTGGAGGAGTCTTCGGATAACTGACTGTACAACCTGTTGTGAGGAAGAAACACACACAAAAATCGAACACAAGTGTGACTTAAATATCAGTCTAAATTCCTGATGTGTGAAACATAACTGCTATTGTGTTTAGTGTAAATAGAGGATTTAGAATTCTTACACAATCTAGACACCTTTGTTAAAGAGCAAATCTTCTAATGTGAGCCTGTGGTGTTTAGTTATGCATCTAGAAGGCAGTGCTATCTTTTTCCAACACTTGCTCAAGCCTTTTTCTTTAAAAATGTAGTTCTATCCAGAACTGCCGTGATATAAGTGGACCACTATGCCCTGATTGCCATGAGAAAAGTGGATCACTCTGCCCTGAATTTATTTTGATACATTTGGGTGGAAAATGTTCCAAGGGAGACAGGAATAATGGGGAAATGAGCCTAAGAGAGAAACAAGGTTAAACTAATGGACAGATTAGATAATGTTGTAGGAAAGTTAGCCATAAGGTTCAGGGAGATGTCAGTCTGCAGTTTTCAGAAAGAATAGAATACTGGAGTTTAAGGTTTGTAAGAAGCAAATAAACCCATTCATGGGTTTAGAGAGGGGTTGGTGTAAAGCAGGGTATGGGGAGAGATAAGGCATTAGTTGAAATTGAATGGTAAAATTTACCAGTCCACTGATGACATGGAAGCCACAAGTAAAATGACCGGATGAGCTTCTATTATACATCCCAAGATAAAATACATTTTTTAAAAAGCACTCTATTGCTGATCATGTTTTGCATTCATGTCTTCAGAAATAAAAAAATGTATTGAACACAAATTGGATATAACTGGTCTAGAACATAGTAAAGAATTTCTCATTACCATGGCAATGTTGCAATTTGGTAATGATGACTATCAGAATATCCTTAACCGTCCCTCATTTACTTTGATACTATCTGATGAAGGAATACAAGGCAGTCTTAAACAATCTTTTAGTAGTCAAGTCTGCCCTGTTGTCTACATTTGTACGTATGCTTTATCTATGGGTGGGCAATGTACGTAAACAAACGGCCTGATAAGCAGGTTAGATTGTAAATAACTTCATGACTTCATGACCTTAAAGTGCCTTTAAATATTACATATTTCTTATTTTACTAGAACAAGTTATCTTTTCAAAGGGTTCTAGTACAATGAAATAATGATGATATTTTTAAAAAATACATGTAGTTTTTTCCATTGATCTCCACCATCAGTCTGAAGTATGAAAGGGGATCTGTCTGGTTGTGGACTGCCATTCATTGTTCCTGTATTGAAAGACAATAATTTTCGTTAGCAAAATGTATAAAGGGGATATGAACTAGGTTTCATTAATATCTTACATCTGAAGGAACAGAGAGAGAAGCATCTCATAGAGAGAGTTCAAGACATGTGAATGCTGTTAGTATTTACTTCCACAGAATACCTATAAAAGTGAAAAGCTGAATGAATCTTAAAAGATACATTCCAATGATGCATCATTCAGGCTGTGCTATAAAATGACATCATTCTATTAAAATATTTAGGGGAACGTTTCCATAAAGGCTAGATGTTTGATATAGATAAAAAAAAAATGCAATTGTCAGGTATAACTTATATAAAATTCAGGATGCAGTACTTGTACTTGCAGTAAAAATAATAAAGCAAAGTCTGATGCAAATAATTCAATAGGGGCAAGGCAGAAACAAGGTCAAAATCCAAGCACCAGAGGTTCAATAACGAATAGGCAGTCCAAGGTCAGGTAAAACAGGTATTCGGGAGATCAGGAACACAGGTAATATCAGAGAGGTAGCACAGAATAACTGAGCAATGAAAGCTCAGCTGTTCCAGGTTTGAATATGGTGCCGTACAAAAGGCACACCTTCTTAACAAGCTGCAATAACACCTTATTGGTGTATTGGGCTGTCAATCTGCTAAGGTTTGACATGGAGGTGAGTATTGCCTTAATCCTCTATCGTTGCCTGGGAGAAGTGACCCGGTCGGACTTCACGGGTCGCGGTCCACATTCTACATTAGCGCATGTCTGTGGGCGGCCGCGATCCTTGTACCTCCATCGGAGCAGCGAGGGAGCGGAGGCTGTGGAGAAAAGTCGTGACAGCAATAGGCACAAGGACCTGATTATAGAAAAATTACTTAAACAAGTCTCTCCAAAGAAGTCTCTTGAACAAGTTCTCCAAAAGAAAGAAACACAAACAAGATAACACTAATTTCCAGTTTTCCCTTGTAAGGTTATAATTCATTTTAAAATGTCACCCTCAGTCAACAAGCTATTATTGAAAATGTCTATTTTATATCTCTTTATATCCTGACTATTTAATATAAACACAAGGTTTAAGGACATCTGCTGAATTCTTTTGTAAGTGGATTATATTATATTTACTGTTCTTAATGTGTAAACTGATTTAAATCTATTTCCCTAATGTTCTTTAGCAATACAATTTCACTTTGTATGTTAACCATAACTTTATTTAAGTGTAACCTTACTTCGTCTCCCTTTGGTTTGTTGCCAATAGTCTTACCTATAATGGCACACTGTGCCCTCACCTACCATTGTTCATTACATCTCACTGATGGGTAGAAGTCTTGTGTAAGACGTTCATCCAAAATAATTTTTATCTAGCAAGATCCGAGCTACAACAAGTTTTATATTTACACCAACAGATATCCACAGGTAAATTGCTGCAGGCATCTGACTGTCTCTAACCTGTAGTGTCATATAATATGTGTATATGGTGTTTGCCTTTTTTACAGCCCTCCACATTTCTCATTCGATCCAGCTGACTCACTCTTCCCTCTCCTTGTGTTCAACTCAGGTCTTGTATTCTTATCTGAGTAATTATTGAGATCCCTTGTTACTAAAAGTAGGAATAGTTATTACTTATCACCACAAAATAATGTATTTCAATACATACCAGAAACTCTCATTAAAGGGAATCTGTGCACCATAAGCACTTCAGCTGATTTTAGTGGTTATGATGTAACAAGTCTTTGGATATCATCCCCTTGGTTTATACCATATTGCAGTGTTTTGTCTAAAACCAGCACTCTCCTGATGCTTCTGATGTTGCTTGGACAATATAAAAGCTACTCTTTTGTATTAGCTGTCGAGTACTTTAGTTGGCAGTGACAGCCTGGGATAGATCAGGGTTTGTTAGCCCTGTACTCAAAGTCTGCCTATATTATCTTAGCAGTGTAGAGGTGCTGAACCTCGCTAATAGAATACTCTTATTTGTCAAACTACTTGAAAACAGTTTGCTATCTTTATAAGGTTTTCCACAGCACTCCAGAGGTGTGCTGGAGGTGCAGAGAGGCTTTTCTTGGTGTGGTCTCACACAAGACTTTAACTATACTGGTCCTAAATCCAGAAAGAAAAAGTAAATGTCTATGACATCACTCATATTATCAGTTTCCCTGGTTATTTTCTTCCACAAAAGACCATCTCTTTCAAACTTCAAAAAAGCATTGCTAAGACATCTGCTCACTGCAGCGAAAGCCTTGATCCCCCTGCATGTGCACCCTATTGCATAAGGGTGTGCACCCTAAAGCAGAAACACACACACCGCGTATATATATATATATATATATATATATATATATATATACACACACACACACACACTGCTGTGTGTGAGGGTGCTTTGTGTGTGTGGGCACTGTGTGTGAGGGTGCTGTGTGAGTGAAAGGGTGGTGTGTGTGTGAGGGTACGGTGTGTGTGTTTGTGAGGGTGCTGTGTGTGTAAGGGTGCTGTGTGTGTGTGAGGGTGCGGTTAGTGTGTGTGTGTGTGTGAGGATGCTGTGTATGTGTAAGGGTGCTGTATGTGATGGCACTGTTAGTGTGTATGTGTAAGGGTGCTGTGTGTGAAGGGTGTTGTGTGTGTGTGTGAGGGTGCTGTTAGTGTGTGTTGTGTGTGAGGGTGCTGTGTGTGTAAGGGTGCTGTTAGTGTGTGCTGTGTGTGTGTGTGTGTGTGTATGTGTAAGGGTGCTGTATGTGTAAGGGTGCTGTTGGTGTGTGTGCTGTGTGTGTAAGGGTGCTGTATGTGTAAGGGTGCTGTATGTGTAAGGGTGCTGTATGTGTAAGGGTGCTGTTGCTGTGTGTGTGCTGTTTGTGTGGGGTGAGGGAACCATTTAGTTAATTTCCCCCCTCCCTTCTTACCTTTTGTAGGGAGGGAGGACCGTGCTGCTGCCATCCCTGGTGGTCCAGTGGTAAGTGAACTCTAGCCTGCGGGGCTAGAGTTCACTCTCACAAGATCTGAGCGTTGCCACGAGAGGAACCCGGCAGAACTGCTGGCTAGAGCTCCCCGGGTCCTGTCCTGCCTCCCTCCATGCTGCTGTGGGCCGGTGGGGGAGATCTTTGTTCTCCCTCCCCGGCTCATGGAAGGAGCCACATAGTGCGGGCCACAGGGATTAGGGTGTTCCCTGGCATACCCCGTGCGCACACCTATGTCCCCCTGCATTAGAGAGATACCACTCCTGCTTCTTTTCGAGGGTGTGTAAGCCTGGTGGGGAAGATCTGGACATTGAGCTCATGGTTGCTTGCTTGGGGGCACTTATGAGAAAAGGCAGTGTTTACTTTGCTGCCTAGTAACACTTCTAGTGGCAGTAACTCAGTCGGCCACTAGAGGTGCTTCCTGTGTCACTACTGCACAGTGTGCAGCACTGGTGTTCAACGACTCCACACTTTGCATGGAGGCACTAAATGTTCCTCCTGGAGATACATTGATTCAGTGCATCTCTCTGGTAAGATGCTGATTGGTGCAGCGTGGCATTTTGCTGCACATGCATAACACAACAAGAAGGGCATTAAAGGGACTCTCCAGTGCCAGGAAAGCATATTAATTTTCCTGGCACTGCAGGACCCTGCAGTGCCCCTCTTCCTCCCACCTCCATCCCAAGTTGCTGAAGGGGTTAAAACCCCTTCAGTGACTTACCGGAGTCCAGTGCCAATGTCCCTCTGCGCTGGGTCAGGCTCAGCCTACTCTCCTTTCCTGCCAACAACAGCAGTCAGGAAGACCTAATGCGCATGGCTGCGCACGCGCATTACACCTCCCCATAGAAAACCATTATTCAATGCTTTATTATGGGGATTTCGGTGACGCTGGAGGTTAAAACACTTTTCGTGTGCTAAGGACACGGAAGTCCCTCGAGTGGCTATGTGATAGAAAAACTGCAATAATTACACTTGCAGGGTTAAGGGTAGTGGGAGTTGGCACCCAGACCACTCCAATGGGCAAAAGTGGTCTGGGTGCCTGGAGTGTCCCTTTAAAGGGGTTAGCAACTAAGCAACAAGGTGGAAAAGTAGCAGAACTGGAAGGTGAGAATGGAGTATGACCCTTTAAGAGAGAGCCAGATTTGTGAAATAGAAGTTACTCTGGGAGGCCATAAGCTTTTCTGAAGAGGTGGGTTTGAGGGACTTCTTAATTGATTGAAGACAAGAGCCTTATGGGGATAAGCAGGCAGTTCCAAAGGAAAGGAACCACGCGTGAGAAGTCTTGCTAGTGCGAGTTACCAGTAAGGGTGCGAGAAGGTCACTGGCAGAGTGGAGAGATCGAGAAGGGCTGTACCTACAAATTAGTGAAGAAATGTAACAGGGACTAGTTATTTAGAAGTTCCGGGATTTAACAAAATATAAGTGAGGGTGCTATCTTTTGTTAAAAGCAACAATGCAAAATAAGAGGAAATAACCTAAGTTAGAGGAAGGGAAATGTTAGTATAATGGAAGGAATTGTTTTTTATTGCTTTTTTGATAAGACTACTAACAAATGTTGTTAAAGCCTAACAAAATGGAGTCACAGATTTTCTGAGCGTTGAACAAAAAAAACAAAAAAACAAAGAATGTATTGGTCTAACATAGTCATGAGATAAAAGCTTGATAAAGATATTTATTAGCTTAAAACATTGTCTGTTTGATGTAGACACCAATAAAAGAAATACCCTTCATTTGGTGTGGTGGACCATACATTCATTCCATGCACCCTACTAAGTAAGCACTCTCTATTTCCAATGTTACACAGTTAGATGGCTGAAAAGAGACTTGCGTACATCAAGTTCAGCCTTCCTCACATATGTTTTTGCTGTTGATCCAAAAGAAGGCAAACATTTACTAATGGTTATTTACCATTATTATCCATGTTCAGTAGTTCTTACGTAGCAGAGTACATATTCATTCATTCATAGTCATTAGAGAGCAGAGCAGCATGTGTATAAAGGCCCAGACTTATAAGTAAGGACAGGCGAGAAATTATTAACAAGCAGGGAGGAATAAAACATATTTGTTCATTTATTTTCTGTGTGTTTCAGAATTTAGAGCTACATTCCACTGATTAAATATTAAAAAAAAAATTAAATAACCATTTAGTAGATAACCCAAATAAAAACATGTGTGCATTTACTTACGCATTTTTTTTCCATTTGAGGGTATATCTAAAAGCAACTTGCAAAAGCTGCAGTTCTCATGTCTGCAGTCTTTGCAAGCCTTCCCCTTATGACCCCACCCAGACTTTCTGTGGCTGTCCAATCACAAATCTGCACTTTTTGCAAAATGAAAAAAAGAGGACTCTTCCATCGTACTAATTTATTCACCTTATGCCTATAGAGTGCACATACTACACACACTATTAGGAAGTATCTCTCCTTCCTGTAACATTCATATGTAGTTGGCAGCTCTGCTTGTTGCTGCACAGAACCCAATTCACAAAATTGTGAACTGGGCTGTATTTAAACTGATCCCAACTGCAGTATGGGTGCTATCAATGTATAGAGCAGCTCCACTTATTCTGTGTGATAAGGGGTATTGTTGCTAGTGGATACACTATCTTTCTCATTAACCTCTGCTGGACAGTGGTTTATGGGATAAGATAAGATCAGACATCTGATTGGCAGAGCTTCTTCCTGGTGAGAGAGTGGTATGTCTGAGGCTACAGTCACATTCTTTATCCTGTGTAGTTTCAAGATCTTGAAATATATATATATATATATATATATATATATATATATATATATATATATATATTAATCTATTTTAATTTTGGGTAGTTTTTTTAAAATATATTTTTCTTTTATATTTGTATGCATTATCTATATAATGTATCAAAACAGGTGGTCATTTTTAAACATTATTTTCTGTTGAATGGTGGTGAACAAGGCAGGCTGTGTGAAGATACATCTGTTCCACAGTAAAGAAGCCACTCTTTGTAAGATGCCAAATTTTTCAAATAAATCTGACAAAGACAGAGAAGAAACTGCATCAGAAAAAATATTTAACTTACACAGGTTCCATAAGTACTCAAGATAACAAGTCAGAAAAATATTAAAAATACATGGCCTCTCTGGGCTTCCGTATGTAGCAGTTTAACACTAGACAAGCCTGATGTTATGAAAGGATAGAGCCAGGGGGCCTATAGGAATGTGAGCCTGTAACATGCTGGGGTGTCAGTTTAGTTACTCATTAAACACTCACAATACCAAGCAGAAATGTAAACCTAGCAAGCTGCTTTTAGTTTTGCTGCCTGTCATGGGGGTGGGCTATGAGGAATCATAAATAAAGAGCTGCTCTGCTATTTATTTACTTTAGTGTAGACAGTAGCCTCCAAACCTCCCCTCTGGCTTTCACTGTCACTTCCTTGCACAGTAGCTGCATTTGGAGCGAGAGCCCCACAGCAACAATCACTAATGAGTTTAATTCTTACCTGCTATAGTGTTAAACACTAATCTTGTCACTGTCTGATGTAACCAAACTCAGAGAAACACAATACATTCATATCATATATCAGAAGCTGTATTCAATTTATTACATCTTCCTAGTGATGTTGCATAGACAAAGCAGTTTTCTGCTGTTAAAGGCCAAACAACTGCTGTATCTTTTAAACACAGAGATAAACATCTAAAGTGAAATTTGCTACAAAATAATCTGGACAACTACCTAAATAGACGCAGGAGGCCGCCTTTTGTGTGCTTTATAATCAGGATATCAGTATTTGAATGTATTGCTGTTTTTGACATGTTTTCTAATAGGAAACTTATTGTAAGAAATACAATTAAATAATGAGGCAAAAACGTGATTCTTTGTTGAACTAATTTGCATATGCCCACCCAGAATCCCAAGCAGTAGTAACATCACTGCAAATTTGAGATTTTAAAGCTTATGGGTATCACTAAGATGTCTCAGTGCTGGAGAGGTGGAGATACGATTAAAAAATTGGGCAAAAAAAAGATATGGAGTAGGTCTAGTATCTGCTACACCACAAGGGGTTAAACGCCGAATTCGACCTATTTAATTTTTTATAATTTCATATAATTGAACACAGAATATTAGTTTCTTTTATATATAATTTATTGATACATAATTTTAAATGTAAGATTTTTTGAAACTTTTTTTTAATCCTTTCCATGCCCATAGAATGAACTCACACATCTCTAATTTTGATTTTAATTATAATGATATGCATGTTATCACTGAGTAACACAACAAGTCACTTTATATGTATTTATTTAATAACATAGTTCTATTCTAGTTCACTTAAATGAATAAAGGCTGGATGAGAATGTCTCCAGCTTACAATGTGGACATGAATGTATTTGTATTTATATACTTCTTTTATCCGATGTAGATATGGATGAGGGGATATGAGAGGCAAGCAAGGCTATCCCTCTGACGTCTCCTCTTCCACCACTTATATATCAGCCCTAAAAAAGATAACCTGTTTGAACTTCAAGCTAAATAGCCGATAATCGCCACTTTTAAGAGATATAAGTACAGACTATTTACTATTTCCTATTACGGCAAGTGTTTAAGATGGAGTTATGAACTACACGTCCCATTGAACACTGAGAGTCGCAGCGCGTCATTTCTGGGCGACGAATGCAACTCAGACGGAAGCAGAACGACGCACCAGATCAAGATGAAGCTATTTAGACTGCCTAAATAAGTCTGGCTGGTTTCCAGACGACCTCATACTTCTGATGAAGCCCAAACCCGGGCAAAACGTGTAATGTAAGGGACTGGAAGCTGGTTTTTAGAATAATTTATTATTTGTATTAATACAAATTACTACCTTTTTTCCCCAAAGCCCTTTTTTTGTTTTCAGCTTTCTTTTTGGTGCAACTGGATTCCTGCTTATCCTTTATATCCTTTGGTGAGGATTGTACCACCACAAGCCATCAACACCAGAGCAAGTTATTGCTCTGGAAATTGTAAGTAGGATACCTGCTTTTTCTTATTACCAATTATACTTGACATACTGTACTACTGGATTTTTATTCTGTTTTTCCCACATATACGGCTGCTGAGAATTGGATATCCAACACAGCTATTACCCACATATCCTAAGACAGGGATTGTACCGTCCAGGCGCTATACAGCAGAGCAAATTGTGAGTTAGTTTTCTATCTGGTTTTACATATATATGTGCTCAAATTATTTATTTGACATACTGCACTATTATTTTGTACTGTTTTTATCTCTTTTGAGAGTCGTACAATCTGCTACATTGTCAGAATTACTTATATGTATGTATAAACCAGGGGTGTCAAACATGCAGCCCCCCAGATGTTGCTGAACTACAACTCCCATGATTCTTTCAATGAAACAGATAGCCAGGGAATCATGGGAGTTGTAGTTCAGCAACATCTGGGGGGCCGCATGTTTGACACCCCTGGTATAAACCATTATCCTAT